CACTTTCAACTCGAGAACCAGAAAAACTAGAAGACTGAAGCTTTGGGAGTATGTATCCATGTTATGCACGATCCTCCCTTTTAATATTATCGTTCGCTTACGCTTCAGTGTCGCGTACAGACGTCTTAAAAAATATGCAAATTTTTGACGGGGAAGCGATTTCGAGAACCAGACAAGGTAAGGGGCTGAAAATTTGGAGGGATATTCCCCGTGCATGTGTGAACTAAAAATTTCGAATTCAACCTCCAGGTATGCGTGGCACTCACGTAAGGGCGTATAAAAGTTTTGTCGAGAAAATTACTAACTCGGGAACCAGAAAAGTCAGAAAGCTGAAATTTTAGGAGAATGTTCCTTGCCCAAGTACAACTTAAATATTTCAAATTCAGCCTCAAGGTATGGGCGACTCCCACGTACGGACACCTAAAAGTTTTGGAGGGAAAACTGCTCACTAGGCAGCTAGGCTACTATCAAAGAACGACCGTTTAATGGAATTGCATATTTACCTTATGCAAAATTTATGGTGATTAACGTCAGTGAGAGGAAAAGCTAGGTGTAAAGCAACAGCCATTCAGGTAGTTAATGACCTGATTACTTCAAGTCCAGTGCAAAAGCACAACATCACACTGGCAAGCCAGATCCGTTCCAGCTTGAGTTCTTACAGGCTAAATCGACAGTGCCTCAATTTTTAATAAGAAATTTGTAGTTGCAAGAAAAAATAAATAAAATTAATGAAGCAAACTTTCAGCGCAGCCGGGGATCGACATTATTTAATTTATACAGGTTATTTGAATTTCTCCATTGCAAATTAATACTTACGTTTGATCCGTAATTAGTCCAGATTTCCTGGATCTAAGACAAAGTCAAAGTCAAAACCCCTTCATTTTACCCCTGTATGAGAGGCTAAGGCAGCCGGGAAGCAACCCAAGTGGTAGCAAATGCCATTGGTCCAAAATATTTCTTGAAAAAAAGCCAGCTGAGCCTTGTAGCAAATTGTTGCCAATCGAAATCCCGAATGCCAGAGAGCGAAATGTAATCGAGATCTTGGTTTCAACCTCTGAGTTTTTTATGGCTTGGAATTACGAAGAAAAGGCGGTAAACCAATTTTTTTCCAAAAAGTGGTCGGTTTGAAGTAAAATCCATCTAGACCAACAAATTTGGCTGGCTTTTCCGATGAGTACTAGTCATGAAACAAGAATGACTAAATTTAAGTAGCATTGACGAAATCAAGCGAATGCGTGTTGGAAACATTGGTACTGCAACCACGACACGTCTCCAAGAGATCCTAGTCACACATGATCCGAAAGTTGCTGAAAGACAGCGGCAGCAATCATAGCCTGCATGGATCATATGAATTTATGGTTGTTTGATGAAGCCATTGCCAGGAAAATCGTGATGTTTGGTTGCTTGCTTTACCCTGTTTTCTCCTGGTCTTCACTTCCTCTAATAATTCCCACAGGCACACTCGACTGCTACTGTTTATCTCGAGAAGACCTCGAAAAGGAGCAACTTGCAGGCATTCCAAACGAATTTGCGACAAAGCTGGTGATCACGCTGATGGGCTTCCTGCTTGCCTTCGTTCTTCTGTGCTTGCTTTTGGTGATTGTCGTACAGGCATTCCTCAGCGACAAAGAAGAAATGCAGCTCTCGGAAGAAAACGCGGCGCCAACGAAAGTGAAAATTGATAAAGGTGATAGCTAAAAATCTGACAGCCAGCGCATAAGTTGAGAGCAAATTTAGCTACTTAACAGGAAACCGGAGAAAAAGCTTACTCTATACAACAAATCTTTCCGAAAATCGTAAAAAATGATTGTCCGGTTTGTTTTGTTGCAATTCCAATATAAGTTTTACTGTGCATCTTAAATGCTGGTTCCAATTGCAGCACATTCGCCGTACATTGTAACGCCGGAGCAAAAACTAACACAGCAGCTGCTCGCCGCTCAGGTATTCTGTGAACTGAGAATTCGATGCTTTCCGTTCATACTCATTTAAACTCCTTTCCTCGCATCAAGAATCAAATAATAGCGCTCTAGCAACAGGAGTCCATCAACTGGTACCATCATAACCATAGGAATAAGATTATAACCACAGGAATATGGTTATAATGGTACCAACTGATAGACTCCTGTTGCTAGAGCGCTGTAATTTGATTCCTGATGCATGTCTCTTTCTGCATTTGTGCACGTGTGAATGCCTGAGCACATTTGCCCAAAAACACAGAAAAATCATCTTGACGAGACAAAGAGTTGTGTGTGTGTTTTATCGGGAACAACTTATAGCAAAAGCATTTCGATCCTGGTGTCTGGATATAGCAAAAGTTCGTCGATCTCCCGGCATTCTTAACACCCGTTACTCAACCTGTAGTGTACCAAAAATTATACCAACTTCTTTTATATTTAAAAATTTTATCTAATAAAGTTATATTTTCAAAGTCTTCAGTGAGCAACAACCTCTTTTGTTCAACATCACCGAGTTTGTTTGATTTATCGCCCTGAGCACTCATAACGAGCAATCATTTCCGTTTCCCCGGGTTTGGGACTTTAAACCATTTTTCATCTGATTGCCAAAGTGGATTTGAAGTCCTACTCTCAACGATCTGAACGGCACCATCGACTGGCTGCAGCCTAAGGACCATGGGTAACTGAAATTAGAGCCTGATCACACTTCGCTGACATATGGGATAGGTCATGGAGCACGGCGATCACGCTAGTTGTGTTAATGATATTGAATGGAGTGCAAATAATTTTATATTTATAGCACCCGATCACCACTACCAATACAAATGACGAGGAAGTCATTCTTGCTGTGGCCTTAGGGTTCATTCAAATGCTGCTTTGAACCAAACCAGTCTGTTTAGTCTTGAGCTGAAAGTCTCCAGTTAAGTATCGTCA